ATTCTTTTGACGTTTCTGCGTTTGAATTTGGCTCAATGACATAACTGCCTTGACCGGAAGACGAGCCTTTCCACGTAAGACCTCGCTATCATGTCAGAATTTTATGATGTCAAACCAAAATGGCCACTCGCTGAGGAAAATGCGGTCCGAATCAATTATAGGAATTATACAAGTAAGTTCAAAAGATCTGTTTCAGCCCCAAAAGGCCGATTCAGCTCTACGGCCCTAAAGCTGTTTTGACCCTTTGTGGGGCCATTTTGTCAAATGGGGTTCTATGTCGACCCCAATAAAAACCATTTCTGCCCCACCAAACACCAATTTAACAGATTACATGTGCATGTAACTTCAATTTACTGCCAGTGTCATCAAGCATGTTTGCCTTACCAGCAAGGTACAAAACAAAAACATTGCAAATGATAGCGAGTTGTTCATCAGGCAACTGGATGCCCTTTGGCAGACAAACAAAGATAATGAAATGTCCATATAGGTATGCGGTCTTAGGGTCTCAAACACTGATTGATCTATGGAAAATACACCTTTCAGAACAAACTTTGTTGTTCATGGTTAATCACGCTGCAACCTTTCAGTATAACACTTTTAGATACAAAGAAAACCTGTTTCTTCGCCACTTTATCTATAATTTTTTGAGTTTCAACTACAGCTGAATTAGTTCAGGTTTATAATTTCTTAATAAGCGCCTCCTTGATTAAGCGCCTTTCTTCCAATAAGCGCCCCTCCTCTCAGCCGAAATTATAGAATAGCGCTCCGATGCTTATTCGAGGAAATGCGTTAAATGAAATTACTTGATCAGGTTTAACGGAAGGTTTTTTAAATTCAAAATTAAGTGGAACTCGCGATGCATCATAATAGTCAAGATAAAATTCTGTGACAGAAATATTACATTTGCAAATAATCCTAGACTTCTCTGAATTTGTGGATCAACACAGATTTTGGTGTCATCGTGCAGGATATGGACCAGCCGGCTTTCGCTTATCCCCTCTCCCCCTCCCCCCTCACCCAGGACTGTTTTACATACTGTGGCTGCGCAATTTATTAAGTATTTCGACATTGTATCAGGGGTCATCTTCAATTTCACAAGCCACCCCCTCCTCCGTGAGAAATTTCATTGCCGCCACCTCTGATGATGTGATTACAATCATATGTACATATAGTTTTCATGTCGGACAATGAAAATAAGGCAATTAACGTTATCTAAAGTTTACAAAAGTGTTATTAATTAATTTTTAGATAAACTGAAACTTTTCAGACATTGTTCTACTGATCTCTCTGCACTCGCTCGTATGTTTATCTATAAATAATTACATCCATCGTGAAAAACTGAGTCTAATTGGTCCCGCTAGCGAGTTTATTATATCGCCATATATTACTCCAACAAGTTTACCATTATAGCGCAACATTTTTTAATTTTGTTTCCGCGAAGAAAAAATTCTATTTTTCTGCCGTTTTGCTTTAGAAAATTTCTCATCGTAAACCGAAGAACAAAGAAATCAACTTTTGGTTGGTAGGAAGGCGACAGCGACTCGCCAATAGTTCAAGAAAAAAAATTGTAAAATTTTCATCATTTAGGTACAGTGGGAAGCAAACTTACATATCATGGACTACCAAATATAAAAGGAAGTTCTTTCAATGTTAAACTGCCTTATGTCATCGCAAAAAACCTTGCCAAAAACAAGATAGTTCAGTAATTAACGCACAGTCAATGCTCTCGCAAAATGTGGAACGTCGGCGTGTCAGCAGCACATTGCAGTGGTTGAAAACAACGAGTTAAAAACAGATGATTCCAGAGCTCTGAGGCTAGTCGTTGTAAAACTAAAATCAAACTTGTCTGTTTAATTTCAGTTTCCTTAGTGCGAAAAGTGTCCTAGAAACGGGAAATAATAAAAATAAGCTGTCCTCTTGTGAACAGGATGAGAGAACTATGACAAAGAGAATGTATTCGCGACTCTTAAAGAAACAGTGGTAGGGCGAAGGTACTTTGAACTAGACTTGTTGGCCTGGAACTTAGTGTTTAGATCATCACAAATACCACATCATGCCATGGACACCTGAACAGGTCATATGAGTTAAGTGTTCGTTATTTTTGTGGAAGGTTTATTGCCAGCTAAGAAAATGCAGCAATGTCTATCATCGGCTTATGCCAGTGGTGAAATAGCAAGTAGAAGAATCTCCAAAACAACTGCAACTTAGCAATCAGATTCGTTCCACAGAAATAGGAGTCGTGCACCAAGGCTCCTTGATAATACGCAACGAAACACTTGGCATACTCAGCAATCTCGCAATAGAAAGTCGTAATAGGGTTTATGTCAGTGGTCAAATGGCAGAAAACTAATCGGTGATTAGGGCCAGATATATTGTAATCGCAAATTTGAAAATTATACTCTTAAACGTGACCCCTGAAAACCCCTTCTCCTGTCCTTTAAACTCTCCTACTCCCCAGGCCTCCCCCTCTCCCTGCCATCGACGGGTAAATTAAATTACAATATGTAAAAGGTGGCTTACTGCAACTTCACACAAAAGAGATCATGTTATGGACCAGATTCCTTGGCTACACGTATTTCTCTCTTATTGAGTGCGTGAGGTAGTAGCCAGGCCTTCAATAATGTAACCTAGCCTGAAAAGTTACAGTAAAGTGATGAAAACGACCCTGAAAACGTTATTGCAAAAGTGCTAGAAATGCAGTTCACGTGTTCACGCTCAAGAATTTTTCGTATTTATGCTGGAATTATGCTCCATCTTCTCTGACTGAAACATTATACTCATGATTATGACGGCATAATTTATCTGAGCCTATCAGTGACAGTGACAGTTCAATTAAGGTCTTTCAGATCACACTATTTTTACTGCTTGTCACAAACAGTTCTAGATCTCGAGGATTCCTTGGATCTGAAGACTGAAAAACCAGTCTCCAAATGTTTCCAAATATACTCACTTAAAAGTCATTATCAGTATTACAATTTTCGCCCAAAACGCAATACTCTTAAAATGTTTAATGCCCGGCATTTCCCAATTTTACCAATGGCATTGAAGATGATTGGGAAACACATCATTCTTTCGCTATTTAAAATGTTTTCTGCGCCTAACATATGAGAGAATCGCCTGCAGTGAGTGTATATCATCCCCTCAATAATAACGTGACACATGTCTCTGGGATATAAAAATGAAGCGTTATGCAATCAATTCATTGAATTTTCTTAGCCCTTGGCTAATCTCCAAAGCCGAAACAGTCATGACGGGCAAATTCCAAGAATCAGAAAGATTCTTTTTGCAGGATTGCTGATTTGAGCAAACAAGAAACTCCAAAAAATATTTTGCTGAGGACGGCTGTCAACCAACCACAATTTAAAAACCAAGCATCACTGTATTATGAAGGACAATGGAGTTTCCGTTTTGGATTCTCTATTCTACAACTTCAAATTGCTTCCGTCCGAATGTGTTGCTAAATAAATGGCAATCGATAAAATTGTGAGAAAGACTTGCATAAATCATTGCAGGGATATTTTGGGGAGATAAGTCAGCTATATATCGGCGGACGCAAATTACGTTTCCACTGTATTGTAAATCACCTTAGTTGATTGTCCATGTCTCTCACCGTTAAGTATGCCAAAGTAATTTGTTGCCCTGCTTTGAGTTATTTTCTCTATAATTATAAGATCGTGTGGTCAATTGAGGTTATTTAAGCTAAGAGGCCTTTTCCACTGTTGTATACAAAATGATCGAGTTCTGAAGTTGTTGGATGCACCATGCAGACAGATTTGAAAAAAAATGTCCAATAGTATTGCGTAACGGTCTTAGATCCCAAGATGGCGGACACATAACAGACGGACAGTGTGATTATCTTATCTAGTGAAGTCATATCCAGTGTATGGCAGCAATCAGTGATCGATTCCGGCAGTTCTACGTTCAATAAAACTTGACTCTAAAAACTGCCTAATTCCGTAAAAGTTATCTTTTTTATATGCTTTATACACGACAAACGAGAAATACGATACCTTGTTTGTCGGTTTCTCTCGCCTTGATAAAACCTGGAATTAATGCCGACTTTTTTTCACAGGAAATGGAGCGTTATTTTTCATTCAAATCTAACCATCGGGATTCAGCAATCCAGAACAACGACCAGACTCTAACCTTTTTCCCACACTTCGTACTGCGAGCGTATATAGTGCACACTTTCTCTCTAGAGGGCATGCAGAAAAGAGACATCTCACGATCATGAATTTCTCAACATCCGGGCCTGCGGCATAAGCTTAACTTTTAGATTTGGTCCCATTGTCTATCCGATACCAATCCGCAGGAAAGTCTTATTTAAATATAAATCTACTTGTGAAAACACCGTTTCACACATGCGGTTTGGAAGTTGCCCACTCCGAGTAATGGGCTCCTGTCTCTCTGTAAAAGTTCCATTAAATTAACTGATTGGAGAGGCATCCTGGGCTGGGATATTGGGCAAAAAGAGGGAGAGTAAGTGTAGTTGAGGACTATGTGGTAATCATAAAATTCGGTTCGCGGCAAGCGCTTGAAACAGAGAGATATGAAAGCTCTTTAAACCGTTTGACGGTTAATTTTAGGGTTCGTCGCACCCATTTAAGAAGCTGGCGCGACTTAATCCTGCCCGACCCCACTCGACGGGAATCTTCGACTCGAGAGCCATGGTAGACAAGTGAACTTGTGAATCTCGTATTGAATCTGTGTTCAATCAAATAAAGTTTGTGGTATTTCGTCGCATTTGCAAACGGGGTTCCTCTGGTTGGAAATTGGGAAATTTGAACATTTTTGGTGAAAACAATTTATAAAGAATAAATCTCCCGTTATCTGCCTACATTTGAAATACGTGGTTTGTTTTTACACAAATTTTCTCATGGAATCAAAAATAACAGTTGTTTGCTCCAATGTCCCCTCATCCCAGAGTTCAGTCCAAATTCTAGAATGTTGTCTTTTGAGGCCAGGATGCTAATGTTATCATTTTACAGCCCCACGGTGTGAATTTCGTTCAAAGCGAAATGCATTTTGCCGCAGTGGCAAGTGAAACAGTCAAATTTATGGAAATGTATATCATGGAAGCGAAAAAGGCTTGAGATAATTAACAAAATAGATGCTAAAAGGGCAAGCAGCGCCACCAGAGAATCAAACGTAAACACACTATGTTGGTCGGTATAGGGCTAGGATGATGTTGGGGACGAAGTGATTTCATCACCAACATTGTCGGCTTTTTAACGAAAACTGAAAACTTGAGTAGTTCATGTCACTTCTTTGAATAGAAGTATAGTGGATATCCTGGGAAAAGCTTAAAGATATCGCCTTGGTGTCAATTCATCCTGAGTTCCTGAGGAGACGTTATGTTCGATTAACATGTGCTTCAGGTAAACTCTTTGAAATTTTCGCACAATGTTTTTATTAGGCAGCTAACCCATTGAGCTTTAAACGAGAAAATGATGACTCATTCTTTTAAATTTAACGTGCAGTTGAACTTGAAGTATCGAAGAGAATCAAATCGTGTCAATCGATGCCTTTTGGACTTGTCATCTTAGCTGGGGATGGCAATGAACTTTACTGAAAGCTATTTGCAAAAACTGTGGCTTGTTCACTATGAATATAGAGAGTTTGATTGAGGAGCAGTGTGTAAAATGGCTCCAGAGTCATGGATGTTTTTGAGGTATTACAAAGGCTCTTGCCCAAGTATTGAGATAATGATGTGCCAAATTGCTGTGGTGATAGACTGACTGGTTGTCATTTCGTCATGTACACAAGGATGAATTCTGATTCAAACTCAAAGGCTCTTTTAAATTCAGTGTAGAGTATTAAGGATGCCTGAGACACTTGACACCATTATGAAAATGTACAAAATGCTGACCAAGAATGTCACTGAAATACTGATTCTAGTGAGGTAGTCAAAAATTTTCTCATTCAACATATTGTGCAGGCACTCAACAAAATTCTATTTTGTCAAAAATAAGAGGAGTTTTGACATGTTGAATTTTTCTTGAAATGATTTTGTTACCAGGGTGACATCAAAAGTCAAAATCCAATTTTAGTCCATAATTGCCTCCTATAATCTTATGTACTATGTGTAGATATAGTCATGAACCAAACCAATTGGATCTATTTTGTACTTTCAAAGAGGTGGCAGAATATACTTTTAAAAAAAGTGTTTGATTCTTTGTTGTTGTTGTTAATGTTAACAAAGAATAAACAGATGTGGCCAACCTCACTCATTAGTTGGTATGTAGATTGGTCTACTTACTTCTTGCTAAATTTGAGAAGTTTATGAATGGTTCTGATGATGATTACTGATGATGAATATTTTACTAATGACCTCCTGTTTTTGATGGATTCCAATCAGAGGGTCCCCTTAATATTGAGCCTATCATGGTTTGATGGCTCACAGTTAAACCCCATCAAGGCCTTCATTGACTGGTTTGCAATATTCTAAGTCAAATAAGGACTTCCTGTACATGTGAAATGCCAAAATGATTTTCACAGTTGACATCAACTTTAACTACAATTATGAAACTGTACTGTCTCTCAATTTGAATTCAACACCCATGGCATCACTAAACAAGTGTAGAATACAAATTAATAGCAGGCACCTCTTGATATGTACATACTTGTATTGTCAAGGTCTGAACTCCAATTGGTTTGAACAAATCAGTTAAATATTGACTGTGGGTCTTTTAAATAGTGCATCAGTAATTTAAGCTGTTAAAACCATCTATAGTTATTAGTATCTTAAAAATCCATTGACTTGATTAGAAAGTGACAGGGAGGTGTTACCTGTAATTTTTGGTGGCTTCAATTGTGACCAACAGGTTTTGCCATGTAACAATTTGTTAAATGGTTTTCTGATCTTTAAATATAGGTTGGTTCAACTCTCCTAAAAAATGACTGTATGATATTATCACTACGACTGGTGGCAGCACACATGTGGCATTGTACTGGGTACACTTCATGGCTGGATTATGGCTGTAATTTATGTTAAAGGTATCTAAAGGTTTGTAATAGACACACCTATTCTATGTCACACTGTGCATATTTAGAAAGACAACATTTATTTGTTAATCCTTAGCCTTGCAACCAGGAGCAAGGTGAGCCAGGCTTATGTATTCTATCATCTTCTCAAGTCCCTGAGTGGCTTTTAAGAACACTTGTGTAGGAGGAATTAGAAGAAGGAGTACTGCACTCAATGAGTAGTGTGGTTCCTCCTCCCTAAGTTTCTTCTATAAGTATGTTTGGCTTCTGAGGCCAAACTGTTTTAGGTGTTAATGTACATGTACCTTTTTCATGGGGGCTGACTGTTAAATGTTTTGAAATGCATTAAATGTGGCTGGTGATTGCTCTTATACACAGACATTTAATTATTTAATACCAATACCTTAATTATGACTATTATTGATGTCACTTTCTATAAGTAGAAAGAGAAGAGTAGAATGCTTTGGATCATACCATGATGACTTGTGTATTTTTTCAGTTCCATTAATTTGTTGACTTAAAAGCAAGCAAGCCTGCTTGGGAGAAAATGTTACCATTCAAGGGTAAACAATATACGGCATAAAATTGTGTTAAGAGGTGGGCAGTCTGGATCAGTGTAGGAAGCTGAGTGATAAAGCTACAACACAAAATACCTATATCAGTCTCTTGGTCAGCTGGCAGTTCATATGCTTTCTCCCATGTGAGGAATACAGATCACCGTCTTAGTAAAGAAGAGAGAATAAACCTTTTTTCTAATCATAGTAACAACCAGGGGGAAAATTTGTGAATTACTTCTAGGATGTTGTGCATGCATTCTCCAATCTTATTGCCTGGTTGGTTTTTTTCCCCAACTAGAAAATCAATTGTTGTTAACATCATCAAAATGACAGCAACCTATCTTTTAAAACCATTCAATTTCAAAGTTTTCATTGACTTTTGGACTTAGTGTTGTTGAGAGCTACTTGTAACTTTAGCCAAGGTAAATAAACTAGCTTATTTCATGACCAAATATTAGACTCATGTTCCATTTTGTTGAATTGTGTGTGTATAGCTGAGTGCTAAGGATGTGTCTTGCCTCTAAGCCAGCCAAATAACACTACTTATTGTTACATTTTGCAGTTTTTTGCCTGAATTTTATTTACAGTTATGGGAGAAATTCAATTCAAAATGCCATCCACTGTTTTTCTGTCCTGTAACTCTAAAATAAATCTAATCATACCTGATTCAGAGCACATTTTGGATATTATGTAATAATATTACTAAAAGGCAGAAAGCTTAAATTTTGTTTTGTGAAAATGACTGTATTTCATTATTTTTTTTCTGACAATGAATGTTCTTTATTCCAGTCTTGAAGTAATTTTACAAAATGGGGTATAGTTTACAGTTTGTGTATTATTGATAAGCAATCCACATTTTTTTAAATAATATTCAACTTTCATGCATATTAGCTTAATGGCTTCTTTGTAATTCAACTTGAAATAAGAAGGTGGCAAATGCAATTAAGTGTTGAAATATGAAACACAGTGGCTTTCTTAAGTCATTGGAAATGATGGTGGAGGCGTATATTTTGTATCTTTAAGTTGATATCAGTCTAAAAGAATATTGGTGTAAAAGACATTTTCTCCTCAGGCAAATTGAAATACAAACTTACTCAAATTCTGCACCAATCTGTGGCTACTGGTGTATGTATGCATACCTTTACCTTTCCAAACACAATAAGGATTTGAGTTAAGAAACAGAATTCTATTCCCCTTATGTATCTGGTGTTATTTGACAATCCTTTATAAATTTTTGTGGCTTTTTGCTTCTAGAAACTGAAGCATCCACATAAACATCAATGTGTATTCAACAAGAGTTTAATTTATGTGTGGTTGAAACTGTTATGATGAAACCAGCTTGATTGGGTGGCATTATTTCCTTAGTATTCTGTATGAATAGCTATGGAAAATGACTGATTAATAAAGAGTTAATCAATCACATTGGCCAGCAACAGTCTTGGTAGCCATGATTCCTTTTTTCATTCATAACTGTTAATGAGCTTTCATTTTTAAGGTCAACTTTGTGATGGAATTGTTTGTACTGTTCTCAAGAGTTGTTTTAAAACTTGGGCTTTTCTCAAGGTGCTAGGGTGTGGCAGTCAAATCAATTGAAAATATTCTTAATCTTATCAATGAAAATCATTAATCATGCTTCTTTTTCCTTTTGTTAACTCATTTACTCCCTGAGTGATTGATATGTGACTTCTCCATACAATTTCAAACTGTTCACAGAAGCTCACAAGAAATGAAAATGTGACAGATGAGAATTTCCAACAGGAATACTTATATACCACCAAAATTAATAAATAGAAAGTGTGGTGAGGAGGTAATTTAACAGTGCACATCATTGGTTGTTCATATATGGGTTAACTAGGGGTTTAGTTGTAATGAGACATAGACAGGAAAGAAAGTACAGTATCATAATAATTTGCTTTGATAATAATTTGCTTCTGAGGTGTGTGTGTTAATCCATTCAAATTGTACATGTATGTACCCTGTCAAGAGAGATTTTCTTGACTCTACATGTGTGTGGCTCCCAACAGTTTCCACAGCTGTTCGTGGGTGATGTATATGGAACCAGTGAACTGATTGAAAAGATTGGTGTTGAGGTAGACACCACTTTAAAAGTTACAGGAAAAGCTTTTGACCCCTCTCTTTATTGTCTACATCTACAGGTGAGCTGTCACAATACCTCTCTACGAAATCGTTGGAAATTAGGGAAATTTAGTTGATAACGTAAATAAGCCACCATAGAGAGTTTCAAAGCTGGCGTTTCGAGCGTTATTACCCTTCGTCAGAGCGAATGATGAAGGGCTAACGCTCGATTGAAACATCAGGTTTGGTATTTTCAGAGAGACGAAATTTTTAGGCTTTGTAAATGAATAGTTACAGTAACAAGTGCGTAAAACTTGTAGAATTTCAATAAGTGTTATATCTGTGACAACCTCTTGTTTTGAGATGAACTGAGTTAATAAACATGTCGAAAAATTATCTTTCTTGGTATATGGATCGGAGTGAGTTTGATAATGAATCACCAGAATGATGGTCGAGTTATAGCGAAGCTGCACGTTTGGTGCCAAAATTTTACTTATTGACTGTATTTTCAGATGTATTGCGTCGCTGAGTTAACGTAAATAAATGCTGTTACGATGTAGGTGGTTTTAAAAGGATTTCAGTCCCCGTCATAAAATAGTGAAACAACTTTCAGAGAAGGGTAATCATTCAGGTAGCAAGGCTAAGGGCGGATCCAAATGACAAATTTGTGGTTGCAAATTATGAGTTATCAAATGGATTGACACGCGGCCTAAAAACCGTTTGTAACTTAAAAATCCTTCACCAACAACAAATCAGAAAGCAAGGTACTTGTTCACATTTACAATAAATTTAACTTACTATTCGAAATCACCAAAACAGTTTGATCGTTTTTAAACGCCAAGCGATGTTTTGAGTTCTACGATCTACTACAAATACACTTTTGGCAAGTCCGTTGAAATTTGGACATTTCTATTATAAGTTGCACAACAGGAACCGAGGGATTTTCATGGCATGAATAAATGCAGCATTAAATCTCTTGTGTCGGAATAGTGTCTCACTTGACTTCAGTTTTTCGGTGGATGAAGGACAAGATTTGCGCACGCCGGTGCAGCAAACAAACGAACAGACTCTCACTACTTCAAAACATACATTTAAAAATGGTGACAAGGACTTTCTTTGTCACTTAAAATTTAACAGAGGTAAATCTAGGTGGATTAATCGCCGATGGAACTGAATAATACTCTCCTTAACATCACTGATTGTTTTTAAAGAAAACATCGTCATGATAGTCATGTTGCAAAGATTGCTTGGAAGCCCTTTAAATTACCTTTATCTTTACGCAAATAAAACTGTTTGGGTGAAGCCTCTTTCTTTAATTTGCATCACCTCTTTTTTTCTATACTATCTACTCGCCAAAACTTTTTTTCAGTTTATGGCTAGGAGGGTCTTGCCGTAAATAAAGTTCTTAATCATACAGGCTCTTTTAGCAAACATTTGTTTAACTCTTTAAAACAAATGGTTTTCACCAGCCTAGGTCGGTCCGTATTATTTACATTACATAAATAACAATTATGTCTTGTAAACTAAACGAACTACCGAGTCACTTAATGATTTATGCACCCGAACCCGAAACCAAATGAATTTCCCATGACAAGATTTTCATGTCGTAACTGCGCTCTGATAACAACTGCTCCTAGGGGCTACAAACTGCTAAAATCCTAAGATAAGGTAGCAAAAAGTCTTGTATAACTTGTACTTACCTGGTTTCCTGGTCTTTGCCTTCCCTACCCCACCCTCGATACAAGGTTAAGTTTGATTTTGAGGCCAGTTTCTAGTCCTAGCATGGCGGGTCTTGGGGTTTTTGAGGAGGGGGGGGGGGGGGGGGGGTGAAGAATTAGACGGTGTTTTGTTGCACGCTTTTATTTTTTCTCGACCTTTGCAAGTAGTGGAATTCTGTGTGAAACTGTTTCGGGCCCTCGACTCACTCGTGGGGACGTTACCGTGATGAATAAAGATTGTCAGTCGGTACTTACAGTCTTCGGAGACGATAAAGTCTGCTGAAAGCTCCTGGGGGTAAGTCCTGTAACTGATTATGGGATAAGTCCCTGTCAACAAAAAATAATCAAAATAGATAATTAGATGTGCGCTGTAAGATGAAGTTTAAAACTCCAAATGACTCCTGCCGGAAGAAAGGCTTGTTTTATTGCGTTGTAAGGTTTTAAGGTCCCCCCCCCCCGGAATAAGCTCTCCCCCAACTCCTCCCTCACTTTCTTAGATACAAAGAAAACCTGTTTCTTTGGCACTTTATCGATATAATTTTTTAATTTTCAACTAAAGCTGAATCAGTACTGGTTAATAATTTCTTCATAAGCTCCCTCCTTCCAATAAGCGCCTCTCCTTTCAGCCGAAATTATAGAATAGTGCTCCGGTGCTTATTCGGGGAAATACGCTAAATGAGATTGCTTGATTAGGTTTAACGAAATGTTTTTGTATTTTATAAAAAATCAAGTGGGACTCGCGATGCAAATGGTCAAGATAAAATTATGTGATAGAAATATTACATTTGGAAATAATCCAAGACGTCTCTGAATTTGTGGATCAACACAGATTTTGATGTCATCGTGCAGGATGTGTACCAGCCGGCTTTCGCTTATCCCCTTTCCCCTCCCCCCTCACCCAAGAATGTTTTACATACTGTAGATGTGAAATTAAGTATTTCGACATTGTATCAGGGGTCATCTTCAATTTCACCAGCCACCCCCTCCTCCGTGAGAATTTTATTGCCGCCACTTTTGATAATGTAATACAATGATACATAAATACAGTTTTCAATTCGGACAATGAAAATAAGGCAATTTGTAAAGCTTACACAAGTCTGGGTAATGAATTTTTTTAGATAAACTGAAACTTTTCAGACATTATTCTCTGCACTCGCTTGTATGTTTATCTATAAATAATTGCACCCATCGTGAAACACTGATTCTAATTGGTTCCAGCGAGTTTATTGTATCACCATAAATTACTCGAACAAGTTTACCATAATAACGCAACATATACATGCGATGTGCGTTGGAAAGACTTAATTTCGTTCCCGCGAAGAAAAAATTCAATTTTTCTGCTGTTTTGCTTTAGAAAATTTCTCATCATAAACTGAACTTCGCCTTTTTGCATGTTATTTAAAAATAAAAACAGCGATATCAGCAATGAAAAGTCTAAAAAAAGTAAGAGGAAAAAAGGTTTCTCAACAACACTGAAGAATAAAGAAATCAACTTTTGGTTGGTATGAAGGCGAGAGCGACTCGCCATCAGTTCAACAAAATAAATTGTAAAATTTTTATCCTTTAGTTACAATGGGACACAAACTTACACATCATGGATTACCAAATACAAAAGGAAGTTCTTTCAATTTTAAACTGTCTTTATTCATCGAAAAAAACCTTGCCAAAAACAAGATAGTTTCAATAATTAACGTACAGTCAATGCTCTCACAAAATGTGGAACGTCAACTTGTCAACAGCACATTGCAGTGGTTAAAACCAACGAGTTAAAAACAGATGATTCCAGAGTTCTGAGGCTAGTCGTTGTAAAACTAAAACCAAGCTTAAATGTTTAATTTTAGTTTCCTTAGCGCGGAAAAGTGTCTTACAAACGGGAAATAACATGAGATGATATTAAAAAAAAGCTGTCTTCCTGTGAACATGATAAGAGAAATATGACAAGGAGAAAGTTTCCGCGACTCTCAAAAAAACTGTGATAGGGCAGAATAAATCTGAGCTATACGTTCTTCCCTGGAACTTAGTGTTTAGTTCACCATAAATAACACATCATGCTATGGACACCTGAACAGGTCATATGGGTGAAATGTTCGTTATTTTCTGGAAGGTTTATAGCCAGCTCCTAAAAAAATTGCAATAATGTTTATCATCGGCTTATTCCAGTATTAGTGGTGAAATAGCAAGTAGATGAGTCTCCCAAACAACTTAGCAATCAGACTCGTTCCACAGAAATAAGAGTCGTGCACCAAGGCTCCTCGATAAAACGTAACGAAACACTCAGCACACTCAGCAATCTCGAAATAGAAAGTCGCAATAGGGTTTACGTCAGTGGTCAAACGGCGGAAAACTAATCAGTGATTAGGGCCAGATATATTGTAATCGAAAATTTATTATATTATACTCTTGAACGTGACCCATGAAAACGAAATATCATGCCCAAAACTATGCTCCCGTCCTTTAAACTCCCCTACTCCCCAGGCCTCCCCCCTCTCCCTGCCACCGAGGGATAAAATTAGATTACAAAATGTAAAGGGTGGCTTACTGCAACTTCACACAAAAGAGATCATGTTATTGGACCAAATTCCTTGCCTACACTTATTTATCACTTATTGAGTGCGTGAGGTAGTAGCCAGGCCTTCAATAACGTAACCTAGCTACAGAGAAGTGGTAGAAACGGTATTTGAGAAGTTTATGCTAAAAACGACCCTGAAAACGTTATTGTAAAAGTACTAGAAACGCAGTTTCACCTATTTACTCTCAAGAATTTTCGTAATTATGCTGGAATTATGCTTCATCCTGTCTGACTAAAGCAGTACACCCATGATTATGACGGCATAATTTATCTGAGCCTTTCTGTCGAACGGTTTCAATTAGGGTCTTTTTCATTATTTTTACCGCTTATCACAAACAGTTCTAGATCTCGAGAACTCCTTGGATCTGAAGACTGAAAAGCCAGTCTCCAAATGTTTCCAAATATACTCACTTACAAGTCATTATCAGTATTATAATTTTCGCCCAAAACATAATACTCTTAAAATGTTAAATGGCTTATTTCATTGAAAATGTTTGGGAAACACACCATCCTTTCGCTCTTTAGAATGTTTTCTGCGCCTAGCATATGAGAGAATCGTCGGAGTGGGTTTTTATCATCCCCATGGCGGATAACGGGACACTTGTCTCTGGGATTAAAATGAAACATTATGCAATCAATTTTTGTCATTTTCTTAGCCTTTGGCTAGTCTCCAAAGCCGAAACAGCCATGACGGACAAATTCCAAGAATCAGCAAGATTTTGCAAGGTTTTTGCAGGATTGCTGATTTAAGGAAACAAGAAACTCCAACTAATATTTCGCTGAGGACGGCTGTCAACCAGCCACAATTTAAAAACCATTAAGTGATATTTCGCTTAAGTCGACATAACGTGCTGAGCGCTCTTTGTCATATAGCTGTAGAGATATTTTGGGGATATAAATCAGCTACATATCGGACGAAAGTTACTTTTCCAGTGTACTGTAAATCACCTCAGTTGAGTGTCTCTCCCGTTAAGTGTGCTTAAGTAATTTGTTGCCCCGCTTTGGCTTGTTTTCTTTATCATTATAAGATCGATCTTAATTTGACCCCCTCGCTAAGACATTTTTTACAGAACTGCGGCACAAACGATGTTCACATTAACCATGAAGCGCACCTTTTCGTGTGGTCAATTGAAGTTATTTTAGTTAAGAAGCCTTTTCCACTGGTTTATACAAAATGATCGAGTTCTGAAGTTGTCGGATACACCGTTCTGAAGAGCTTGAACCATTTTTAAGGCTGACACCGTTGTAGACAGATTTTAAATGAAAATTTTCAACAGTATTACGAAACTGTCTCAGATCCCAAGATGGCGGACATAACAAACGGACGGTGTGATTATCATATCTAGTAAAGTCATATCCAGTGAATGGCAACAATCAGTGATCAATTCCGGCAGTTCTACGTTCAATAAAACTTGAATCTACAAATTGCTTAATTCCGTAAAAGTCGTCTTTTTGATATGCTTTATATACGACAAAAGAGAAATACGATACCTTGTTTATCGATTTCTCTCGCCTTGATGAAACCTGGAATAAGTGCCAACTTTTTTTCACATGAAATGGAGCGTTATTTTTCATTCAAATCTAACCATCGGAACTCAGCAATCCAGAACAACGACCAGACTCTAACCTTTTTCCCACACTTCCGACTGCAAGCGTATATAGTGCACACTTTCTCTCCAAAGGGCATGCAGAAAAGAGACATCTCACGATCATAAATTTCTCAACATCCGGGCTTGCGGCATAAGCTTAACTTTTTGGATTTGGTCCCATTGTACATCCGATACCAATCCGCAGGAAAGTCTTATTTAAATATAAATCTACTTGTGAAAACACCGCTTCACACATGCGGTTTGGAAGTTGCTCACTCCGAGTAATGGGCTCCTGTCTGTCTGTAAAAGTTCCATTAAAGTAACTGATTAGAGAGGCATCCTGGGCTGGGATATTGGGCAAAAAGAGGGAGAGTAAGTGTAGTTGAGGGCTATTTAGTAATCATAAAATTCGGTTCGCGGCAAGTGCTTGAAACAGAGAGATCTGAAAGACCTTTAAACCGTTTGACGGTTAATTTAAGGGTTCGTCACACCCATTTAAGAAGCTGGCGCGATTTAACCCTACCCAACCACAGCAGATTATTTTAAATCACTCGACGCGAATCTTCGACCCGAGAGCCACGGCAGACAAGTGAACTTGTGAATCCCGTACTGAATCTGTGTTTAATCAAAGAAAGTTTGGGGTATTTCGTCGCATTTGCAAACGGGGGCTCTCTGGTTGGAAATTGGAAAATTTGAACATTTTTGTCGAAAAAAATTTTTGAAGAATAAATCTCCCGCTATCTTCCTACATTTGAAATACGTGGTTTGTTTTTTACATAAATCCTCTTATGGAATCAAAAATACCAGTTGTTTGTTCCAATGTCCCCTCATCCCAGAATTCAGTCCAAATTCTTGAATGTTGTCTTTGGAGGCCAGGATGCTAATGTTATCATTTCACAGCCCTGCGGTGTGAATTTCGTTCAAAGCGAAATGGATTTTGCTGCAGTGGCAAGTGAAACAGTCAAATTTACAGAAATGTATATCATGGAAGCGAAAAAGGCTTGAGATAATTAACAAAATAGAAGCTAAAAGGGCGAGCAGCGCCACCAGAGAACCAAACGTAAACACACTACGTTGGTCGGTATTAAGGGCTAGGATGATGTTGGGGACGAAGTGATTCCATCGCCAACAGTGTCGGCTTTTTAACGAAAACTGAAAACTTGAGTAGTTCGTGTCACTTCTCTGAATAGAAGTGTAGTGGATATCCTGGGAAAAGCTTAAAGATATCGCTTTGGTGTCAATCCGTCAGGAACACAATTTCTGCAGCTCCTGAGGAGACGTTATGTTCGATTAACATGTGCTCCAGGTAAACTCTTTTAAATTTTCGCACAATATTTTTAATAGGCAGCTAACCCAATGAGGTTTAAACGAGAAAATGATATGTCATTCTTTTAAATTTAACGTGCAGGTCAATTTGAAGTATCGAAGAGAATCAAATCGTGCCAATCGATGCCTTTTGGACTTGTCATCTTAGCTGGGAATGGCAATGAACTCTACTGAAAGCTATTTGCAAAAACTGTGGCTTGTTCACTATGAATGTAGAGAGTTTGATTGAGGAGCTGTGTGTAAAATGGTTCAAGAGTCATGAATGTTTTTGAGGTATTACAAAGGCTCTTTCCCAAGTATTGAGATAAAAAATGTGCCAAATTGCTGCGGTGATGGAATTGAGTGTTTGTCATTTCGTCATGTACACAAGGATGAATTCTGATTAAAACTCAAAGGTTCTTTTAAATTCAGTGTAGAGCATTAAGGATGCCTGTTACACTTGACACCACTGTGAAAATCAACAAAATGCTGACCAAGAATGTCACTGAAAAACTGATTCTAGTGAGGGAGTCAAAAATATTTCTCATTCGACAAATTGTACAGGTACACAACAAAATTCTATTTTGTCAAAAATAAGAGGAGTTTTGACATGTTGAACTTTTCTTGAAATGCTTTTGTTACCAGGGTGACATCAAAAGTCAAAATCCAATTTTAGTCCATAATTGCCTCCTATAATCTTACATACTATGTGTAGATATAGTCATGAACCAAACCAATTGGATCTATTTTGTGCTCAATTACTTGAATTGGCAGAAGATACTTAAAAAATGTTTGATACTTTGTTGTTGTTGTCAATAATTAACAAAGAAGAAACAGATGTGGCCAACCTCACTGATTGGTTGGTATGTGGAGTGATCCACTTACTTCTTGCTAAATTTCAGCTTCATATGAATGGTTCTAATGATGATTACTGATGATGACTATTTTACTAATGACCTCCTCTTTTGATGGATTCCAACCAGAGGGTCCCCTCAATATTGAGCTTATCATGTTTTGATGGCTCACAGTTAAATCTCATCAAGGCCTTCATTGACTGGTTTGCAAAATTCTAAGTCAAATAAGGACTTCCTGTGCATGTGAAATGCCAAAATGATTTTTACAGTTGACATCAGCTTTAACCCTTTAACTGCTAAGATCTCATTAGTAATTCTTCTTACTGTCTGCCATATAGTTCCTCTGATGTTAATTTTGAGAATTTGGTATTGGATCAACTAATAATCCCCTAATTAATATTTTCCTTTATTTTCATCACTTGTCTGCTTAATATTGTATTGATATTGTAAGGAGAAATTCTGTCTTGGTCACACATGGGAGTTAAAGGTTTATTATGAAACTGTTCTCTCAGTTGGAATTCAACATGCATGGCATCACTTAAAACAAGTGTGGAATACAAATTTATATCAGGCACCTCTTGATATGTACATACTTGTATCACCAAGGTCTGAACTCCAATCGGTTTGAACAAATCAGTTAAATATTGACTGTGGGTCTTTTAAGTTGTGCATCAGTAATTTAAGTTGTTAAAACCATCTATATTAATAGTATCTTTAAAATCCATTGACTTGATTAGAAAGTGACAGGGAGGTGTTGCCTGTAATTTTTGGTGGCTTCAATTGTGAACAAACAGGTTTAACCATTTTGTCAACTAATTTTCTGATCTTTAAATATAGGTTGGTTCAACTCTCCTAACAAATGTCTGTATGATATTATCACTACCACTGCTGGCAGCACATAATTATGTGACATTGTACTGGGTACACTTCATGGTTGGATCATGGCTGTAATTTATGGTACAGGTGTCTAAAGGTTTGTAATTGACACACCTATGCTATGTCACACTGTGCATATTTAGAAAGACAATATTTATTTGTTAATCCTTAGCCTTGCAACCAGGAGCAAGGTGAGCCAGGCTTACATATTCTGAGAGTGTCTTTATAGTTTGATATCATCTTCTCAAGTCCCTGAGTGGCTTTTAAGAACACTTGTGTAGAAGGAATTAGAAGAAGGAGTACTGCACTCAATGAGTAGTGTGGTTCATCCTCCCAAGGTTTTTTCTATAAACATGTTTGGCTTCCGAGGCTAAACTATTTTAGGTGTTAAAGTACATGTACCTTTTTCATGGGAGCTGTGCGAAATGTTTTGAAATGTATTAAATTTTGCTGGTGATTGCTCCTATACACAGACATTTAATTATTTAATGCCAATACCTTAATTATCATTGATGTCACTTTCTTTAAGTAGAAGGAGAAGAGTAAAATGCTTTGGATCATACCATGATGACTTGTGTATTTTGTCAATAACAACAACAACTAGCTTTATTACCAAATTGAGAAGTTAAACTTAATTTGCACACATAATATATTAATACAAAAAAAGGTAACATTTACTCAGAATAACTGAAAAGCTAATCCAGCTGAGTAAAAGTAAATAATGTTTAAATATAGGACGTAGGTTGGCACTAAAGCTCGAGCAAAGCAAATTATTGGTCAAAAAAAAAAGAGGACAAAAAATAAATTTTAAAAAATCAGATAAAGAAAAAAGAAAAAGAAGAAGAAGAGACCAGTTGAAAACTCATGAACAGTAAGACTGTAAGATGTTTAATTTGACTTTGTTTTTAAATGTTTCAAGGGGGAGGTGTTTAATGCTTTCGTCAAGGTGATTCCAAACTTTTACAGCTGCGAAGCGAATGTTGAATTTACCATAGTTCAATTCCATTAATTTGTTGACTAAAGCAAGAAAACTGGCTTGGGACAAAATGTTACCATTCAAGGGTAAACAATATAGTGTACATATTGTGTCAAAAGAGGTGAGCAGTCTGGATCAGTGTAGGAAGTTGAGTGATAAAGCTGCTACATGAAATACATGTACCTATATCAGTCTCTTGGTCAGCTGGCAGTTCATATACTTTCTCCCATGTGAGCAATACAGATCGCTGTCTTAGTAAAGAAGAGAGAATACACCTTTTTTTCTAATCATAGTAACAACCAGGGGGAAAATTTGTGAATTTCATTTAGGATGTTGTGCATGCATTCTTCCAATCTTATTGCCTGGTAAGAAAATGTTGGGTTTTTTTCCCAACTAGAAAATTAATTGTTGTTAACATCATCAAAATGACAGCAACCTATCTTTTAAACCATTCAATTTCAAAGTTTTCATTGACTTGTGTTGCTGAGAGCTACTTGTAACTTTAGCCAAGGTAAATGAACTAGCTTATTTCATGACTGAATATTAGACTCATGTTCAATTTTGTTGAATTGTGTGTATAGCTGAGTGCTTAGGATGCATCTTGCCTCTAAGCCAACCAAACCACACCACTTATTGTTACATTATTTTTGCAGTTTTTTGCCTGAATTTTCCTTCCAGCAACAGGAGAAATTACTAGTAACTCTAAAGTAAATCCAATCATACATGATTCAGAGGACAATTTTGATATTACATAATAATATTACTAAAAGACAGAAAGCTTTTTGTTTTGTGAAAATGACTGCATTCCATTCATTTTTTTTTCTGACAGTGAATGTTCTTTATTCCTGTCCTGAAGTCATTTTATAAAATGGAGTACAGTTTACAGCTTGTGATTTAATGATAAGCTGTCCAAGACTGGGGTAAAAAATTAATGTTGCTCACAAGTGATATTCAACTTTCATTCATACCAGCTTAATGGCTTCTTTGTAATTCCACTTGAAATAAGAAGGTGGCAAATGCAATTAATTGTTGAAATACGAAACACAGTGGCTGTCTTTAGTCAATGGAAATGATGGTGGAGGCTTGTAATTTGTATCTTGATATTGGTCTTAATAAAAAATAATGGTGTAAAAGACATTTTCTTCTTGGGCAAATGAAAATAAAAACTTATTCAAATTTTGCACCAATCTGTGGGTTGTTGTTTTTTATTTCAGTTGAATATCCTAAAGCATTTTCTTCTCTTTGTTAAAAGATCAGTAACATTTTGAGTCTATTAGTTTGAGAAATAGTACTGTGTTTTAATTTGCCATTATCATTTTGTATGCTGTATGTAAAAATTGTGTTCAACAGGAAATTACAATTAAACCAATATATGTTTCTCTTGATCATCCAATAGGGTTTTTTCTTAATGAATGATATGATACTGATGTTATTAACAGTACATGCTGATATTGTCCAACAGGTAGCTACTACATGTAAGTTCAATGAGTGATTTTGACTAAAAATAATAAAATGCAGTATACCCTCATATATCTCTGTTCACTTCCTATTTAGCACTAGTCTCAAATCATCAACTTGCATACCTCAAAAGCTACTGGTGCATGTATGCATACCTTTACCTTTCCAAACACAATAAGGATTTGAATTAAGAAACATAATTCCAGTCTCTTTATGTATCTGGTGTTATTTGACAATCCTTTAAAAATCATTGTGACCCTTTACTTCTAGGAACTGAAGCATCCTCATGAACATCATCGTGTATACAACAAGAGTTTAACTGATGTGTGGCTGAAACTGTTATATCATTGCATTATTTTCTTAGTATTTTTTGTTGTATGGAAAATGAATGATTAATAAAGAGTTAATAAATGACATTGGCCTGCAGCAGTCGTGGTAGCCATGATTTCTTTTATCATTCACAACAGTACTGTTAACAAGCTTTCATTTGTAAGGCTGGCTTCTTGATGGAATTTTTTTGTACTTTTGTACTTTGTACTTCTTAAGAAGTGTTTTATAAATTGGGCTTTCCTCAAGCTGCCAGGGTGTGGCAGTCAAATCAACTGGAAAAATTCTTGAACTTATCAACAAAAATCATTAATCATGTTTTTTTTTTCTTTTGTTCACTCATTTACTCCCTGAGTGATTGATATGTGACTTCTCTTTACAATTGTGACAGGTGAGAATTTCCAGCAGAAATACAGATATACCACCAAAATTAGTAAATGAAAAGTGTGGTGAGGAGGCATTTTAACAGTGCACATTATAAGTAGTCTGTGAATGGGTTAACTAGGGGGTTCAGTTGTGACGATACATCAACAGGAGAGAAAGTACAGTATCACGACAATAATTTGCTTTGATGAGCATCTCTGAGGTGTGTGCTCTAATCCATTCAAAATGCACGTGTATGTACCCTGTCACAGGAGGTGTTCTTGACTCTGTACATATGTGTAGCTCATAACAGTTTCCTCAGCTTTTTATGGGTGATTTATATAAATAATGAAGTGATTGAAAAGACTGGTGTTGAGGTAGACACCATTTAAAAAGTTACAGGAAAAGCTTTTGACCCCTCTCTTTATTGTGTGCCAAGGGATTACAACATTGTGACAGGTGGGCCGTTTTACACCTCTAGAAAACCAGTGAAAATTATTTTTGGAAAAAAAGTGCTTTTTAAGGCATTGTAAATGAATGGTGGGTAAGTTTAGTTGAATTCAATTAGTGTCATATTTTATAAAGATATTGAAAATTTATCTTTCTCTGTATATGGATCAGAGTGAGGTTATTGATGACGACGTGAATGATGGTCGAATCAGCGATGTATTGCGATGTATTGCGTAGCTAAGTTAACCTGAATAATTGCTAATACGGTGTAGGTGGTTTTAAAAGAATTTCAGTGCGAATTTGAAAATAGTGGTACAACTTTCAGGAAAGGGTAATGATTCTAGTAGCAAGACTAAGGGCGGATCCGGATCCATAACAGTGGAGTGCGCATGAAGCTGACGCGTAAGATCAGTTTTTTTTTCTCAGTGCGTGAGCGGGCGGTATTCTACAAATCCTACAATCTGAATGGTATTGCGAGTGGACAGTATTCTTCCATCCGGTTCGCTCACAGCGGGCGGTATTCAATCCGTTGCGTGTTGAGTCGCCTAGTGCGCCTAATGCGCCTAGTAGCTTTTACAAGCTAATGTTTCGGTCACGACAATTATCCGATAAATGATTAATGATTAATTAAGGCAGGCGGCCTAGAAACCGTTTGTAATTTAATAATCCTTCACAAAAAGCAACTTAAAAAGTGAAAACGTGAGGTATTTGTTCACAATTACAGTCAATCAAACTTGGTTTGATGCTACTCTGGTTTAAATATTTGACGAACGTAACCGAGAAGTTACAATTCATTGACCCAACCTTTCGATACTGGTGTCTAGTGCCTTCATCATCGATTGACAGTGACAGTGATCTAATCGCTGCGACAAAAGGTCCTTATATATGCTCAAATCAATCAAATTTACTCTCCAGATCTGAAATCGCCAAAATAGTTTGTTCGTTTTAAAACGCCAAGCGATGTTTTGAGTTCTAAGATCTAATACAATACACTTTCGTTAAGTCTTTCCAAGTCCGTTAAACAGTTGAATGTTGGATATTTCCACTGTAAGTTGCACAACAGAAACCGAGTGAATTCCATGGCATGAGTAAATGCAGCATTAAATCCACTTGTATCTGAATAAAGTGCCTCATGTGACTTCAGTTTTTTGGGGAAAGAAAGACAAGATTTGCACACGCCATTGCAGCAAACAAACGAACAGACTCTCACAACTTCAAAATATACATTTAAATTTGCTTACACTTACTTTCTGAGTCACTAGTACTTAAAACTGAACAGGCGTAAATCTACGTGGATTAGCCGCCGATGGAAGTGATTATTACTTTCCTCATGATTACTGATTGTTTTTGTAGAAAACGTCGTGGTAGTCACATTTCAAAGATTGCTTGGAAGCCTGTTAAATTTAACCTTTATCTTTACGCAAACAAAACTTTATCGGTGAAGCGTCTCTCTTTCCTCTGTTCTCTATGCTATCTACGAGCTAAAACAATTTTCGGTTCATGAAGGATCAATTACAGCCCTGAATCATTTGGGCTCTTTTAAGAAGCATTTCGTTATGTGTTTGAAATAAAAAAAAAAGCTTTGTCTAGTGAAAGAGAAATTCTGGTTACGCCGGAGTTTTCCAACGAATTAAACTAAACAAATTACCGAATCATTTAATGATTAATGCGCCCGAAACCAAATGAACTGCTCGTAGCATAGAAGGCAGCTATTACACAAATTCAAACTGCAGTACTCGTAATATGGTCGCGTGCTGAAGAAGTGAGAATACGTCGCAAGGTTTTCGATGCATATCTTTTCACACACCGTGTTTTGCATCAACGTCGTCAATTTACTTTAAAGCATAAGCATGGGTGAGAAACTGTGACAAGATTTTTATGTCGTAACTGAGCTCTGATAATGGATGCTCCTGGGGGCTAAAAAAACTGCAATCCTAAGATAAGGTGGCCAAAAGTCTTGTTTAACTTGTACTTACCTGGTTGCCTGATCTCTGCCTTCCCTACCCACCCTCGATACACGGTTGAGTTTGATTTTGAGGCCAGCCTCTAGTCCTCGTTTGGCTGGGGTTTGTGTTTTTTTTTTTCGTGCTCGCCGTGAACTTTGTTTTTTCCACCGGTTGTATATATTTCATTTGCAACTAATTAAAGGAATTCTGCGTGAGACTGTTTCAGTACCTCCCCTTAATCGCATGAATGTTACAGCAGTTAATAAAGATTTACGTCAATTAGTGCTTACAGGTTGTTGAGGTATTTAGTCCTGTTGAAAACTCCCGGAGGTAAATTCTTTAACTGGTTATTAGACAAGTCCCTGTCAACAAGACAGCATTACATCAGATAGATAGATTTGTGCTGGTAGAGAATACTCTTACCGGGAAGAAGTCTTGTTTTATTATATATTGCGTTTTAAGCGCCCTCCTCGAATAAAGTCCTGTCTCCAGTCCCCTTCCCACCCCCCTCCCCTCCCCCCTTACCGGCCCCAACTCCCCATCCCTCACTTTATTAGATAGGAAGAACATCTATTTCTGTGCCACTTTATCAATAACTATAAAGCTTGAACTAAAGCGTAATCAGTACAAATTAGTAGCTTCCGAGTAATATAAATGCCTTGATAAAGTGCCCTCCTTTCAATTAGCACCGCTCCTTTCAGCTGAAACTTTGATCAGGCGCCCGGGCGATTGATCGAGGAAATGTGGTGAATAAAATTGGTTGTTAAGGTTTGAAGAAAGGTTTTTTTTTTTAATTAAAAATCAAGTGGGACTCGTGCTGCAACTGGTCAAGATAAAATTCTGTGATTGAAATATTACATTTGCAAATGGTCCAAGACTTCTCTGAATTTGTGGAACTACACAGATTCTTATGTTATTGTGCAGGATGTGGACCAGCCGGCTTTCGCTTATCTCCCTTCCCCTTCTCCCCTTCCAATACTGTCATCTTCAATTTTAGGATCCACCTCCTCCGTTATATTAGAAATTTTATTTCCGCCACTTTCGATATTGCGATTACAAACCCATCGATGTAGCTTTTGTTTTCTACAATACATGCTTACCAAAGATTAAATAATGAATTCTTAGACAAACTGAGACTTTTCAGACTTTGATCTGTTGATCTGTGTTCATTCTCTGGTACGTGGGTTATTATGTTAATCTTTAGATAAATATACCCAACGTGCAAAACTGATTCTTATTGGTCCTAGCGAGTTCAGTATATCACCAGAGCGCGACATATCCACGCAGTCTGCGTCGCAAAGAATTTTGTCATCTGGGAAGAAAATGTTCTGTTTTTCCTCTATTGGGCTCACAGAAATAACCAACGAACTTATCATGGCATTTTTCGACAAAAGTGTATAATTCCAGCGGCATGAGGTTGATCGTTATAAAACTAAATCCAATCTCATTTGTTTAATTTCAATTTCCTTAACGCGACAAAGTGACTACAAAACAACAAGCAGCATGAGATGTTGGTACAAAAACTGTCCCTTAGTTAATTTGGTGAGAGAAATAGGACAAAGAGAAAAATCTCCAAACTCTTAAAAGAAAACTGCGGTAGTACTAATTTGATAATTTGAACTACCTGCTAACTCGGAACCGAGTATTCAGATCGTCACAAATGCCAGATCATGTGGCCACGGCCACTCGAGCAGGTTATATGAGGGAAATTGTCGTCATTTTTCTGGGACATTTTATGGCATTTCAGAAATGCACCAATATTTGGCACCAGCGGTTTTTCCCAGAAATAGTTAGCAGACGAGTTTCCAAAAAAATTTTAAC